CTCAGAAGCTGCTGCTGCTTCTGTGACTGGGCACCAGAGCCTCTACAGTTCTAACCTAAAGCTCATCAAAAGACTTGTTTTGAATTGGGGTTAGTTTTGTCATTCTGACCTTGTTTGTCTGAATCATTGTGAGTCAGTGTCTTTTTAAAGGCTGGGAATGTCCAGAAAAGAGGTTGTTTCCAGCAGCCAGAGGAACAGTCTGAAGTTTCAGGGCTTTATTTCAGACTTTGGTGCACCTTTGCTCTGACAAACACAGCATCGTGGGGCTTTGACGGGTGTCTCAAATCATCACAAGCAAGGCACTGACCTCCCTAACTGAGATTTGCAAAGTCTCTTGAATGGGTGTTTGTGGAATCTATTTCCTTAGTGGCTCTCTAACTCCTGGGGAACGCTGTGCATTTTGTCTCATTGCAGCAGTCATACGGGCTTTTCGGGACCTGGTTTGGCTGTGTCCCCAGTGCACGGATGCAGTGTGTCGGGCACTGCCTGGCTGTGAGGACACCATCCAGGACAGTGAGGTAAGGTGGCTTTGTGCCCTGGGCTGCTAGCTCTTGAGCATGGGTGGACAATGACTCTTCCTCCTTTGGGCTTAAGATTGGTGGGCAAAGATCAGAACCCTTCAGAAGATGTATTCTCAAGTCTGTTTGTTTGAGGTCAACTCTGGCTTTCTGGTGCACAGCACCTATTTGCTGGGGTTTTTCTGTGTGGTTCCTTCAGGGCAAGCAAGCGTTGATCTGGCTCCTGGGCACCCACGGTGAGAAAGTACCAAATGCCCCCTATGTTTTAGAGGACTTTGTGGAGAATGTGAAATCAGAGATGTTTCCAGCAGTGAAGATGGAGCTTCTGACAGCGCTGGTGCGCCTCTTCCTGTCCCGTCCTGCTGAGTGTCAGGACACGCTAGGGAGGCTGCTCTACTTCTGCATAGGTGGGTTCCCTTCATTCTCTTTCCCTGAAGCTATAGTACAGGCTGTTTGGGACCTGGTTTGGCTGTGTTCTCAGTGCATGGATGCTGTGTGTCAGTATCCTAGTTGTGAGGACACCGTGCTGGATGGCAGGGGAAAGTGGCTTTATGCCTTAGGCTTCTGCTTGGCCCCTAGGTGTCTGGTTGATGAGTGCAGCAGGCTTACACTGTATCCCTAAGAGTCCATTTTTAATGATTAAAGGTTAGTTCTTCAGGAAAATCTGGATGATAGAGTTCCCCATAAATTATATCTCTCTGATTCCCAGAGGAGGAGACGGATATGGCCGTACGAGACCGTGGATTGTTCTACTATCGCCTGTTGGAGTCTGGTGTGGAGCAAGTGAAACGGGTCCTGTGCAGCCCCAAGTCTGATCCCTCTCTGGGGCTTCTGGAAGATAAAACTGTGCAACCTGTGAATGCATGGGCTTCAGAGTTTAATACTCTTGCACCAGTTTATGGCAGAGAACGCTGGGCACTTATCACTGCTCACCAGCCAGCAGAACCCTCTTACACTTGTTCTCCTCATATTGACTCCAGCAACAGAGACACAGGTAACTCACTCCATGTGGGATCTGGTTTCCACTTGTAGATGTTCTCGTGTGGGTTTACTATTTGGAAGAAGATCATAGTGCTTTGAGAATGCTGACTTAGCGTTCTGACTATCCTGTGCAATGTGTGGCTGATCACCACCTCACTGGGCCAGGGGATGCTGCTGGAGGCAGCTGCTGTGATCCCAGCCACCTTGGTGGCTCCATAAGATGTTAAATTGGGAGCTGCATCTTGGATGCTGCATCTCATGTATTTATGGTTTCATTTCAGAGGCACTGATTTCTGAAGAGAATAAAGAAGTCCTCAAGGTCCATCCTGATACAGGCAGCCTGACCTTAGTTCCTGATGTGTACCTGACTGCAGAACAGTTTGAGAAGACCTGGCTGAGCTTGGATACAGACTGGCACCTTTCTCTGCCCTGGTGTGGGGCGGTTCATCCAGATACCATACAGACAGCTCTTCACGTTGTCCACATCCAGACTATTGCTATGAGCAAAGCTGGTGTCCAGCCATGGAAAGCTTATCTCAGTGCTCAGGATGACACAGGCTGCCTCTTCCTAACAGAGCTCTTGCTCGAGGGAGCAGATTCGGAGATGCAGGTTTCAGTGAAGCAGAGTGAGGCAAAGCCAGAGGCAATGCAGGCCTTTATTTCAGCATTAAAGACAGTCATGGGGACAGTTGCTGGGCTGGAGTCCTGACTGGTCCCTGCTCCTAGCTGGATGCTTGCTCAGGGCATGGGAAAAGATTATTTCTCTGCCTTTATTTGCCATACTTGATGCTGGGTTTGCACTTTAAAGCTGTGAGAGCGTTTGCTGCCCTTTCCTGGGCTGGGACAACACGTGTGGTGAGGGGGTCAGTGCAGTGGAGCAGGGGGAAGGGTCTGTCCTCCCTCTGGGGTGGGGAAGGGACAAGGTGATGCATTCGTGAGCCTGGTCTGAGTCACAGAAGTGGTGTCTGCGGTGCTTGTCACAAGGCACTGACTTGGCTGATGGAGCCAGAGACGAGCAAGGTTCAGGGATGTGTTTTGGAGAGGTTTTTTTCTTGAGAATCATAAATGACTCAAGAAAAGAGTTCTGAGACTCCAGGATACGGTCCTGATCTCGCGTTAAGAGGAACAGTGCCGTGAAGAAAGAAGTATTGAGTTCTTGGCTCCCTTTCCATGGGAGTTCAATAGTAGCTTCCCTACCTGTGACTATTGCTCTGAGTGTCAAGAGATGGGTGGACAAAGTACATTGGCCTCAAGAAATGCACCTATTTTCCAAGAGAAAGAAGTGTATTTTCTCATTGAAATGTGTTGCTGGAGTCATGAATCACCCTGTCTGAAGTTCCCCCCTCAGCTCCCTGTGGCCAGGGTGACTGAGAAAACACACTGTGCAGGTCTTGTATGATGTGTTCATGTGAGTGAATGCAGCATGAGTGTTGCAGCCTACATCCCTTTGGCCACGTTGCTGAGCTGTTGGTCCTCACACTGACACAAATAAGGGAAGAATTGCTCTTTAGAGAATTAACTGTATGGAATACTACATTTTGGTTGGATGTAGTACTTACTTCTGCCCAGTATTGTCATCCTGTCCCAATGGTGTACATGAGACAGTGCAGTGCTACATGACTGAAGTCTGCCAGTTTTTAAAGTCACAGTGACTTTGTGTTGAAGAGCATCACTCCGTCTGCTCTGCTGAGAGCTGGACTTTGCACAGTGTCAGGAAGAGTCTCTGTGTCCCAGCCGTGTTTGACACAGTGGCAAAACCCTGAAGAAGGCTTAAGGCTGAGGTGCATCAGTTGCTATAACAGGGCTTTATGGTACTCTGTAAGGAGTGGCTTTGTTAACCCTATTCTGTAAGATTTCGTGTCACTTTTAATTTCTTTTAATGACTGGGGAGGGTGGAACAAGATGATCTTTAAGGTACCTTTGAACCAAAACCCATTTTGTGATTCTATGACTGTTGTACCTTTAAACTGCAATTTGCATTGCCTGCACTGAAACGCTGCTGTCACTGTTAAACAACAGCCTTTAGATTTAATTTCTCATTGTCCTAATAAAAAACATGACTCATTCCTGGCTTGTGCTGCTGCTGTCCTGAGCATGGTGACTGCCCCAGCGCCCAGGGCTGCAGGCGCCTGAAGGAGAGGAACTGGCTGAGGGATGGGGGCTGGATCAGGAAGTGATGCCTCCAGATCAAGTTACCAACCACTTCATGTTGAAAGATCCTGCTTTCAGTTCCTTATGAATTTGTCAAAGGTGGAAATGGTTTTGCTGAAAGTTCCAGTGTTGGGTAGCTCCTTCTGGTTGAACCTGGGTTTGGTAATATTCAGCAAACACAAATGATATTCTGTTGTTTCAACTCAGGATGCTCTAAAGGGAACATGCTTTAATTGAGGTGCTCCCCCCACCTTAAGCAGTTTAGCTGGGAAGCTGAGGGAATGCAGGTGTAATGTTGCCATCCGATTGATGCTGCTGTCACTGAGTCAGGAAAGAGGTGAGATGTTTTCCCACTCCTCTGACCTTCCTTGCTTCCAGCAGCCTGGGATGGAGGAACTGCTGGAACCCAGAGGGGTAAAAAAAGGGATGCTCTTGGAGAAACAGGAAGGGGGATGAGCTGAGATTTCAGCATGAAGCCACTGGGGTGAGAGGAAAGAGACCTGGACAAACTCAGGCTCATCTGGTCCAACCTTTCCAAGCAAGGCATGACCTAGACTTGATGTCCCAGCACCCTGTCCAGCCAAAGCTTAACAGTGTCCAGTGTTGAGGAATCCACCACTTCCCTGGGGAGATTATTCCAATGGCTGGTTCTAACTGGGGAAAAGTTCCCTCTTGTATCCAGTCAGAATCACCCCAGGAGTAACTCGTGCCCATCACCCCTTGTCTTTTCCATGGGACTCCTTATCAAAAGGGAGTCTCTGTTGTCTTTGTAGCCACCCTTTAAATACTGCCACACGGTGACAAGGTCTCCCCTGAGCCTGCTCTTCTCCAGGTTAAGACCCAGCTCTCAGCCTTCCCTCCCAGAGCTTGGCTCATCTTTGTGGCCCTTCTCTGGAGCCTCTTGAACCTGTCTGCATCTTTTTTGTATAGCAGTTGGGCAGCTCAAGGGGGTAACATGTGCAAGCCAGGTCCAGGTGCTCAGCATCTATCTGATGTGTTCTTCCACTGTTCCACAGTTAGTGTGGAAAGCAGGGTAATTCAGAAGTGTGAAGGGGATTTTGCATGCTGGTTTGGGGACTCTTCTTGTTGCAGCATGTTCTAATTCTGAAGCCTTTTCCCCAGCTGCCTGGCAGTGAAGCGCAGACCCCAGGGCCTGGATGGCTGGACGTGGTCCTTAGAGAACTCGGATGCTGGGGTGCCTGGCTCTGGTCTCCATCATCTGACCACTTTAGTGGCACAGCTCCTTGCTGTGATGCTCACATGAAGCACGTCTGCTTTTAAAAGGAGGGCCCCAGGTTGTGTGTTGCTCTTTGCTATTTGGCCCCGATCTCTTACGTACTAATTTCCCTTCAGCCTTGTGATGAAGTTGGTAAACCACAGCCTGCCACCAGGGCTCTCCGGGCTGGTGCTTTCCGCTGCCGCGCACTCTTGACATGCCTGTTCCCAGCTGGGGCAGCCCGGTCGTGCTCAGTCTCCGGCAACATGGACCAAAGGGAGATTGTGCTGCAACACCTGGAAAGGGCACAAAGCAAGAAGCTCGACCGAGAGAAGTTTGCCGAGGAGTTTTTGGTGAGTTCACCTCAGGGACAGGTTTGTTTCCATTGGTTCTAAAGGGAACTGCTCCAAAGGGGACCGCTGCTCAAGCAGGGGTGTGATTTACAAGTGACAATAAGGTTTCTATGAATTCCGCAGCACAAAGAGACACGGGAGGTAAGTGGGGTGAAGGAATGTAAAGACATGTGAGTAATTGAATGTTTTTTACATGATTACCTGAGTGCTTCCTGTTTTCTCCCTTGTGAATGTGCTGCTCAGGACAGTTTCACTTTGCCTGGTAGTGGAACTGGGGATATAGTGAGGAATAGGGAGGTATCACAGTATCCCAGTATGTTAGAGATTGGAAGGGACCTCAAAAGCTCATCCAGTCCAATCCCCCTGCCGGAGCAGGAACACCTAGATAAGGTTACACAGGAACGTGTCCAGGTGGGTTTTGAATGTCTCCAGAGAAGGAGACTCCACAACCCCCCTGGGCAGCCTGTTCCAGTGTTCTATCACCCTCACTGAGAAGAAGTTTCTTCTCAAGTTTAAGTGGAACCTCTTGTGTTCCAGTTTGTACCCATTACCCCTTGTCCTATCGTTGTTTGCCACTGAGAAGAGCCTGGCTCCATCCTCGGGACACTGCCCCTTCTCCCCACTGCAATCTGTGATACCCCTGTTCCTGTCGGGGATCTCCAGCTCACACTTGTAGCTTTTCCCTTTTTCCTTTCATCTGTGCCACCTGCAGAGAGCAGCGGGTGTTCAGAGGAGCACCCTGTGGACCTGGGGTTGTTCCACCTCTCACTGGTCCTGGATGCTTTGGTTAAGGCACGAGTAGGCAGCGACCTGAGGCCCTGGATGGGCTGTTTCCCCAGCGCTGCGCTGGCTGTGTGGCAGGGCTCATGCATGCATCCTCAATGGGTGCATGTGCTTGGCATCCACCAGTGCCCCTCTAAGGAAACTGACTCCTTGTTCCCTTAGTGCAAACCTAGCACAAAATGCCGATGGTTCTCACCCTCCCCTGCATTCTGCAGTGTCCAGCTGGCTGAGATCGATGCAGTGCGCTGATCTGTGAGCTCTCTGACATCTGTGGGTGGCAAACCACTGGCCCCCAGTTAAAGCTGGTGACTGGTGCTGGCTGTTGGAGGAAGGCTGTTCTGGCAGGCTGGCTGAGCTGCTCTGACAAGCAAAGGCATTGCAGATGTAGGGAAGGGTAAAACTGGGCTATTTGTAAGACCTGAGCTGCCTCAACCACCAGAATAACCACTGGCTCCGAGCTGCCCCACTGACAAGGGCTGCATCAGGCAGTGCTCCCTGGGGAAGGTGCAGGGGTTACTTAGATCTCACAAGATCCAGCCCTGCTTTGTCATAGCAGCGAAGGCTGGCACTTCAGATACTTGGGAAAAGCTTAGTGCTTGGTTTCCAGGTGCCTGGGTTGGAGGGAAGTGGTTCATGTGAGCTTGCAATGACAGGCTGTTGTTCCATGGAACAAAGTGTGGTCACAGGCTGCTGAATTTCCCCCTCTTGCTGCTGTGCTTAGGGCTGTGCTGTGCAGACTGGAGGCCCTCAGGCATGGGCTAGCTCTAGCAGGCACATGTACAGCTAGTTTCCTGACCAGAAAGGAAGGTGGGAATAGTCAAGGCTGCATTTCCCCTTGTACTGGGAAGAGATCTCCCCAGGGTGACCTGAGCTGCTACCACTTTTGCAAGCACAAAAGCCTTAACAGGCAGTGGCAATGACTTGCTTTTCCCAACTGGGTGGTGGGAAAGGGAGATTTGCCCTATAGTTATAGAGACACCAATTAGAGAAACATCCCTTGGTTGTAAATCAAAAGCACCCCTTGGTGACAAGGAAAGTGGTGAGGTAGACAGAATATTATGAAAGAAAAAACACAGCACGGATGGTGCTTTTGAAGTTGCTGCTAACAAACAGTGCCTTATTTAGAAGCTGATGCCAGTGAAATCAAAGTCTATGCTTTGGCAGGATAAAAAGATGCTTGAACTCTCCAAAAGCACTGCAGCAGTACCTTGGAAATGAAAGAGATGGGGGATTCGTACCCCTAAAGGTCTATCCTAGGACTCCTTGTTTCTTTTCCATCAGTGTCCATAGCTGCTTTGCTCTGTGCTCTTTAGTAGCTTGAGCATTGCTGCTTGCAGCTACACAGGAGCATCTTCACCAAAGACAGAAAAATCCTTTGATTTATGTGTCTTTTCTGATACCATTTGTTAAAGGTGGTTTAACATTGCTACTCCTCTTACCTGGGTGCCATTTATACTGAGAACGATTCCCCTGTGTCTCACTTATTTGTGAGGGCGATGCTTTATGTGCTGGATAAATGCATCATTATTTCACTCCTGAAGCCTACGTGCCTGAGCCTCATGTAGGCACTGCCTCAGCACACTATTTCCATTGCTCAGAAGCCTGTGCTGGGACTCTCCGGTGGCTTCTGTCTCTATTTTTGCTCTGAGTACCTTGTGAAAAGCCACTTAGGAAAGAATTAATGGTGCACACTTGCTTTGTGTCACTGAACCTGACCCCTGTACGCTCGAGTAGTGTGTTGTACGTAGCACATCTGCTGTAATTTGTTCCCTTCTTTCATCACAGAAGCTGAAAAGGCAGTCAACAAAGTACAGATCAGATAAAATCTACCCTACAGCAGCATCTGAGCAACCAGAGAACATCAAGAAGAACAGATACAAGGATATCTTACCCTGTAGGTTGGAGTATGTTCCTATTCAGCCTTTTTATATTCCTAGCTCAACACTTCTCATCCTCCAGCTGCCTGCACAGTTGCTCATATGGGAGCATGTATCTGGCTGTCAGTTGGCCTTAAATTAGTGGCAATTCCACGCAGGAGGAGGCATCAGCTGCTCTGGGATGAGCTCTCTGATGTACGTGCTCCTCCAAAGCACCTTTTGCTGCAGTCTGAGGAGCTCAGCTGCCATGAGAGACGAACAGTAATTGCTGCTGCTTCTGCTTTTGTGCCTTGCAGTTGACCACAGCAGAGTGGAGCTGTCCCTGATTACCTCCGATACAGATTCTCATTACATCAATGCCAACTTCATCAAGGTATTGCTACGTTCATGGTGCTTTGCTGTGCAGAGGTGTTAATAGCAGCTGTTAGTGCTGCCTGGCTGAGCTGTGCCAGGTCCGGTGTGGAGATGGAAAGGACCATGCAGCAGTTTCTGTTCTGTGTTGAGGGATAACTGATGTGGACAATGAGTGAGCCCTTCAAACGCACCCCTTGCAGCATAGAGGCCATAGGCTACAGAGCAAGGGATGCGTGGGGAGGGCAGGCAAGGGACCACAGGGCAGGTGGTGGAACAGTTTGTGGTTCACAGCCCTGGCTTCCTTGCTGCTGTTACTGCCTTTGGTGCAAAACTGCCTGTGGCCAGAGTCACCTTGCCTGAAACCAGTGCACAGGCAGGAAGCCTTGCACTGAAGCAGGGCTGAGACCCACTTCAGCAGCAAGCAACAGCGTAGGTCAGTGCAGGCTGGCTCTCCATCAGCAGCTCCATGTGTTTTGGGACTCTTCCTGCACTCATGATCCCTCTCTGATAGACAGGAGGTTTCCTTCATTCTCCACCATTCTGACCAAGGGCACTGTGTGCAGAAGAGCAGATCTTCACATGGGGATCATGGTTTGTTCTCTGGCCAACAGCCACAGATATGTCAAGCTGCACACTGCAGAGCCAGAGCACATGTGGTAACACCACCATCAAGCTCCCAAATACACTGCAAGAACTGGTGGCTCTGGGAGCGGATCCCACCTCAAACCAGTTTCCTGGCTTGGGGAGGTTCACACACCATTGGTTTCTGGTTGCTTCATTTAATGTAGCTGCCTAAAATTGAACTATATAAAAGCCCTTCTAAATGATGAATGGGCTCCTTGCGTAGAAATAAGATTCAGAAAGAAGAATGACTTTATTTCTGCTAGTGGACTCTAGAAAGATGTCTCCATGTCTGATTTGAATGCTGTTTTAGGGCGTCTATGGGCCAAGAGCTTACATTGCAACGCAGGGTCCCCTCTCCACTACTGTCATTGACTTTTGGAGGATGATTTGGGAGTATGAAGTCCTGGTAAGGTGCAGATTTAGATGCCTTTTGTGTGTGTGTGAGTGTGGTTTTTTGGGGGGTCTTTTGCTTGGTTTTGGGGGTGTATTTTTTTTAATGTTTTTTGGTATTTTTTATGAAAAGTTGTCCATCCCAAAGACCTTTTTGCCTAAGCAGATAGTGGGAGAGTCAGGGTTTTACTCCAGGTGTTGTAATGTGTGCCCCACATCCTTCCCATGAGCCCCCTCCACACATGCTGAGGCAGGAATCTGCTTATGGCTGTCTGCACTCGGGCTCTGAGTGGGAAAGGTCCTTGCACCCAGGCTGTGGATGATGCCCCAGGTCTGATTTCCCAGGTCTCTGGGAAGGGCAGCCCACAGAACCTCACTGCTGCTAAGCACCCACAAGTGATGAGCTGGATTTTGCTGCCTGGATAAGAAACTTGGGTTCAGGCTTTTCTAATGAATCTTCTTTCTGCAGATTGTGGTCATGGCTTGTATGGAGTTTGAAATGGGAAAGGTGAGTAACGTGTCAGAGATGGCCTATGCCGTGACAGTGCCAGGGCAGGGTGGGGAGATGCAACTTGTAATAAACCTTGTTAGCAACAGCAAGTTTCTGCTTGATGTTTCCTGAGTGTCCAGCTGCAGATTCTTAACCATTCCCAGTAGTGCAGCTGGCCTCTTTGGAAGGGAAAAAGCAGCAGTGATGGCTCCAGGGAAGGGGAGGCTGCAGCAAGAGCCTCCCAGGGCAGCTTTTGTCCTGCAGAGTGAGACAGGAGATGGTGTGGGTGGGCTGGTGGTGAATAACCAAATACCTCCTGCTTCTCACCACAGAAGAAATGCGAGCGGTACTGGGCAGAGGTGGACGGCTCTCCCTTGCAGTGCGGTCCTTTCTCCATTGCCTGTGTGAGTACAGGTGCCACCAGCACCGTGTCACAGCGATGTGCTGGAAACCTGTGTCATCTGCAGAAAACGTGACTCCAGCTTGTTCTGCAGGAAGCTGAAGAGAAGAGAAATGAGTATGTGATTAGGAGGTTAAAGGTGACCCTGAATGAGGTAAGGAGGAGAGGGCATCAGCTAACCCTGCCCGTGCTGACATCCTGGTCTGAGCCAAGGGGAGCCACGGCAGCATCCCCTTGCTGGCACAGGGTGGCTCCAGACCTTACCAGTGCTCCTAGAGTCATAGAATGGACAGGCTGGAAAAGCCCTTTCAGCTCATCGGGTCCAACAGCTCCCAGCACTGCCAAGGCCACCCCTAACCCATGGCACTGAGGGGGTGTGAACACTTGCAGGGATGGTGCCTGCAGCCCTGCCCTGGGCAGCCTGTTCCAATGCCTGAGCACCCTCTGGGGCAGGAATTGTTCCTCAGCTCCATCTAAACCTGCCCTGGTGCAGCTTGAGGCCGGTTCCTCTTGTCCCATCCCTTGTTACTCTTCTCTTGCAGGAAATCCGCACAGTCTACCAGTTCCACTATAAAAACTGGCCTGACCACAATGTGCCCTCATCCATTGACCCCATCCTGGAGCTCATTGGCGACATTCGCTGCTACCAGCCAGGTGACAGTGTCCCCATCTGCATCCACTGCAGGTGGGTGAGTGGTCACTGGTAGGGAAGCACTGCAAGACCTCAGTTCTCTATGCTCTTTCTTCTTAAGTGGCCACAGGGAGGGTGGAAGTGGGTGCAAGCCTGCACCAGGCTCCTCTTGTAGGGAGTCCTAGGGTAAAGGTGTCCTCTGAGGACAGCTAACACAGCTGAGTGGCAGGAAAGGAGATGGGTAGCAGCAGGCCAGCAATAGCATGTGTAGTTAAGAGACCATCAACACTGGGCATGTCCATGCCCTACCACAGAGCCTGTTTGCAGGAGCATGGGATGCGCCTTCCCACCTGCAGCAGAGCCGTACATGAGGTGGATGAAGCTGCACAGGGCTGTCGTGAAGGTCTGCACCCCCTGCAGTGTGGGATGGGAGGGTCACAGGAGGCTGTGGATCTTGTCAGCAAACAGAGCATGGCACCCTCTGAGCTCTGCCAGCAACCCTGCTGTCACTGTCATTGCAGTGCAGGCTGCGGGAGAACAGGAGTCATCTGTGCAATCGACTACACCCAGAAGCTGCTGAGGGACAGGGTGAGTGTCAGCCTGGTCTGTGCCTCCCTACAGCATCCGCCTGCAGCAGCGCTCCATCTCTGCCTCCTCCTCGCCTCCTCTCTCCCCTCAGTCTCCCTCTCACCCCCTCTGAATGCATGCAGATGTATTTCAGATGACAGCCACCAATGCAAACTCCCTGCAGCCTGACTGGAGAATGGCAGTGGTCAAACCGGTGATGTCCCATTCCCAGTTTGTGCTGCTTCTCTCTAGGCTCTGCATCAGTCCATTGCTATTGCTCTCTTCACCACCCCAATGGGAGTAGTCCCTGATGCTTGTACTGATGGGGCAACACTCCATTGTGCCTTCTGGCAGGACCTTTAGATCACTGGAGCATGGCTCTGTGCTGGCCTTCGGTGTTCAAGATACTGGCTGCATTTGTCTCCCTGCACTTAAGCATCAGAAATCCAGCATTTCCAAACTAAAACCTTGCTTTACTCTGCCTCTTCAGTAAAAATGGATGTGAAGTAATCCCTGTCCATGCAGCAGGCTGCTGGGATGCAGAGGAGAGGCTGCTCTCTGTGATATAGCAACCCTGAACCCACTGAGCTGGGAAATCAGTGTCTTGTCTTCCATGCTATTCACAGCTGTTACCAATGTTGGTATCAAAAGTGTATTTACTGTGGAGTGCAAGGCAGGAGGGAGGAGGGAAGCTGGTTCCTAATGGAAAAACAGCACTTCAAGCAGGTCTTTGGTTAAAACCTTCTGCAATGGCAGCCCTGGATTGTGGACACTTCCCTAAACTGCCTCATGGTGTGGAAGCTTGCAATTGAACCTGTCTGTATGTTTGTGTCTTTTATCTTTCTTGCAAGATCCTTCCAGTGAACTTCAGTGTTTTTAGCCTGATCCAGGAAATGCGCACACAAAGGCCTTCCATAGTGCAGACCAAGGTATGCCTGGGAAATGTCACCTACTGGGATCTCAGGTGTCCATACTGGGACCGCAGTTGTTCACCAGGAGGGTCCGCAATGAGGACTGCTCAGCCTGGAGAAGAGAAGCTGCGTGGAGACCTCAGAGCAGCTTCCAGTGTCTGAAGGGGGCTACAAGGATGATGGAGAGGGGCTCTTCATTAGGGACTGTAGGGATAGGACAAGGGGTGATGGGTTCAAACTGAAACAGGGGAAGTTGAGATTGGAGATAAGGAAGAAGCTCTTTCCTGTGAGGTTACTGAGGCACTGGCACAGGGTGCCTGAAGAAGTGGTGAATGCTCCATCCCTGGTGGTGTTCAAGGCCAGGTTGGACAGAGCCTTGGGTGCCATGGTTTAGTGTGAGGTGTCCCTGCCCATGGCATGGGGGTTGGAACTGGATGATCTTAAGGTCCTTTCCAACCCTAACTATTCTGTGATTCTATGTGATTCTATGAAACACAGAGCGGTTGTGCTGCTGGGGACCAGAGTGGGCAGATGTTCTGCAAGGTCCTTTTTCTGAACAGCAGATAGATTTGGCAGAAACTAATTTGGCAGCTGAGCATTTCCCTGTTCACAGCTGGAGCTTAATGCTTGCAGGCTGATTTATCAAATGTGAATGCTGTGAAACTAGGGGCTGGCCAGGCAACTGAGTGGGAACTCAGCTGAGAAGCTGAGAGGAAGCTCAATGCAGACCAGCATTGCTTGTGCACCCAAAAACCCCCAAGGGCTTCAGTCTGAACCCTGTGAAAGCTGTGGCTTCTACGCCTTCTGAGAATTTACCTTATTGATGGACTGGGAAGTGGCAGCTTGTCTCAGGGGCTGCTGCTTGATTTGGGTACCAGGTGACCAGTGGAGTGCTGCAGATGCTGGCTCTCATGTGTGGTTTATCTGTCTGGAACACAGGAGCAGTATGAGCTGGTTTATGATGCGGTGATTGAGCTCTTCAAAAGGCAGATTGAAGCACTCGATGCCCAGGAAGACTCTGCTGCTTCCCAGGTAAGAGTCCCCAGGACTGCGCCTCAGGCACACCAGTTCTAACCTTGATGCCTTCTGCAGAGGTCTCCCCTGCGGAGCTGGAATGTTTTCTGCTCTCCTTGATGCCCAAACTGAGTCTGTTTTCAAGTTAGCACATGAGAATCCAGCTGTTTCCCTGAAGGAGCGATGCTTATCACAGGATTTAGCCTCAAGCAAGAGCTACATTTCCTTCTGTCTCAAGCCCATTTTCTGTAGATGTATATTTAATGTAATGAGTGAATAGGAAGCACCAGCTTTCTACAGCAGCAGCTGATTTCCATGCAGACGTGCCAGTGAGAGACTTGTTTTCATGGAGTGCTTGCATGTGACAGGATGACTTTCAGTCTAGGTTGGGAGCTTGGGTGCACGAGGTGGTATGGCTAGGAGTATTAACCTGCAGCACTGGGGTATGTGAGTGAGGCAGTTGTCATTGCAGCCTCTCTGTGGGAGAGAGAAGGCTAAAATGTCTTGTGAAAACCATGTCAAAGCCTTTCACATCTGATACACCTCCAAGGAAAAACAACAGGGGCTTGGTATGAAGCTGCACATGAACAGGAACATCCAAAACATCCACGGTTAAGCTTTGCTTTGCTTTTGTTGTTTCCCTCAAACCTTTCCTTTCCTGGGTAGCTGTTTGCAAGCTGGCTGAAGAAAATGCATTGCAAAGGCTAAGGATTACAGTTAGCTTGTTTTGTCAGAGGCTTTTGTCTAAAGGATTGGGAATAGGATCCTGCTATGGGACTTGTGCCTTAGTTTTGCCAGACGATGTGCAGGATGTTCCAAGCCAGAGCTGCATGTGGAAAGAGCTGTGAAGCGCCTCTTTCTATGAGTTGTGAACAGTCTGGAAGCAAAGGAGATGCAAGACCACATTGACATAAAAGGCAGGAAATGGTTCAAGTCTAGATGTGATTTTGTAGCTCCTGGCCAGACCTCTTCCCTGCCTAAACCTCATGGCCCTCTGAAAGCACTTTTCAGAGCAGAGGGGATGAGCACAACGTGAAGTGTCACAAACGAAACCAGAGCCCAACTACCCAGACTGGGGGGGTCCAGCAGGCAGAGTGGTCTGTGCAGGCTGTTTGCAGGTGTCGGGAACAGATGGGTAGTTGGACAGCTTAATGGGCTCTCCCTTCAAAAGGTGCCGATGGATACTGCTGTTCAGGAGGTCCTGCCCCCAATTTTCAGCTCCAAGTTGGTGTTTTCAAGTTGGTGTTTGTCATTTCCAAACTGCATTAATAACTGAAAGTAGTTGGCCCAAATTCCAGGTCCTGAAATAGGCTGTTTGTGTTCTTTGCATTTTTCTTCCTCACTCTTCTTTCCTAACCTTTTCTTTCACTAGGTCCAAGCAAAGCATCCTGCAGCCAAGCCACTTCTGAGTCCAGTGGAAGATATTTATTCCCTGAGTTTATTAACCTGGTAAGGCCATAGCACACGTACCCCCTGGGTTGGTGTTTTCAGTCACCCACAGGATTTCAGGAAGGGCACTTTTGAATGTGTGTTTTGTGACACAGTTCTCTTTGAATGCTGCATTTCAGCTGTCAGCAGGGTCTGCAGCCTCCCTTGAGTCCTACTTTGACTCTCATGTTTGTTCCTAATGTAATTCCTGCTCTTCTGACTGATGTGTCTCCAAGACCGAGTCCCAGTCTCTTCCCTGCATGCCATCCTGGGTATTGCTCTTCTGCCCTTGCACGTGTTTCATGGTTTTCCTACATATGAACTGAAAGCACCTTGCAGAGCAGCATAAAAAGGCTCACACACATGGAAACACCCTAGTGCTGGTTCATCTCAGCCCTCTGCCTGGAGCTGTGCTCCTAGATTGGTCCCATCTTTCATCTGCACGGGCTGCTCCAGTGCCTCTTGCTGTAGCAATAGGAAGCCTGAGGAGTCCCATTTGCCATCATGGGCAGCTTCAGAGGGTGACAGGATCTTCCTGCAGGCATGGTTTGGTTTGCAGTGTCTGCTTTCCGTAAATAACTTTGGGGTTTGGTATAGTTTACCTCCATAAAGGGGCCTTCTCTGTTCACCATTTAATGGTGTTCAAATGGGGCACTAGGGTCCTTCCCTGCACTCCTTGCTTCAGGCTGAGCTGGGCTCTACATTCCTGGGGGCCAGATCTGATCTTAGGAGCAATGTTGTGGGGCCTTGTTAATAAGCTAACAGAGGTTTCTGAGTACTAGATGGCTTTGACTCCACATCACGGTGCTTTGTTGCAGTTCAGAGCAAGAGAAGCAAGATGTGCATCAGCGCCTTCCCCCAGTGGTACAAAGCAAAGCATCCCTGACATCATTGCCTGCCACAGGAGTACACAAGAGCTCTGCATGTGGAGTCCCTCCCATCAGACAAGCCATCTCCTTCGGCACTTTGAACTGCATCACCTGCAGGAAGGCAGCAATCGCTGAGAAGTGGGGCACTGGGGGTGCTTTTCAGAAACACCACAGTTTGGATTTCAAACACATCTCTCCTGAGCAGCTGCTTCTCAACCTGGAGCCAACGGGAGCAGGCAGGAGAAGACCTCACAGCAGGGCACCTCTGACATGGGCTGCATCGACCCCTTTTGTGCTGGCACAGCAGGGAGAAGGCTGGGAATGGGACAGAGGGGATGCAAAGCCTGGTTTGAGTTCACAGTTGCCCAATGCCTGTTCCTCAAGCTTCCAGATGAAGAAGCAGGATGGATTTTCCCCTGTTGAGCTGAACCACTTGAGACAAGAAGCGTATGGCCCTCCAAAGCACAGGGAGCATGGGCAACGTCCTCACTCTTGCTTCTGCTCAGCAGAAGACCCTTACTTCTCTTCACTCTCTCCAGAAGAGCCCACGTCCCTGGTGTTTGCTGAGTGCTCTGTGGAAAGCCAGGATGCACTTCTCCTTCCTTGTGCTGTGAGTGCTCCACCGCAGCCTGCTGTGGCCAGCTCCCTACCATCCAGATCTGCATCCCACCACACTCCCCTGCTGCAGGACGAGAGGATATCCTCCTTGAGTAAGTGCTGTGGCACGTGATGAACCGGGCTTGGTTCCTCTGGGTTGTGGTGTACAGAAGGGGGTGGCGAATGTTGGCTTTTGGTGTCCAGGCAGGGCTGTAGCTGTTCCTCAGGACTGCATTCCCATGGGAGCTGAGGGAGCAACTGGTTTCATCCTCACACTTGTTTCTTCCTGCCTTAAATTCTTCCTGTAAAAACAAACCAACACTTTCAGAACAGCCTGATTTGGGGGTTTGCATTACCCAGCTGCTCCAGACTCTGTCAACTTTGGTACAGCCCTCAAAGGCAGGCAGGGATTGGGGCCAACCAGTCTTTAAAACAAGAGTGCTGCAAGGAATGTTCAGAAAGCTCCCAGAAATGGTTTTCCCTGAGGATCTACTTTCCAGCTCAAAACCCACTCCTTCCTGTAGTGTTGTGCAGCGGGATGCTGACATCCCACTGATGCTGAGAGAACCAGGACTTTAACATCAGTTTTTTGCCCCGTTCTGTAGCCTTAAAACCATGACCTGAAGTATGTAGAAGGTAAAATTAATTATTCTTTGGTCTTTTTAGTCCTGGCCCAGTTGGATATTTCCCACTCTCCACAGCTTTGGCATCTGCTCAGGTTTGTCCTACTCAGGCCATTTAGCACTCAGTGTCACAACAGTGTGCTCCTTATCTAGATGCTCAAGACCTGGGAAGTTATGGGAGTTGCAGCACAAGCCAAGCAGCAAAGGTACTGCCAGCTGTGGGCTTGGCTGTGTTCTGGGCTCTGTGCAATGGGAATTCTGCAGGCAACACTGCTGGAAGCCTGCCCTTAGGGCCATGTAGCTAGTGGCAGGTGAATTGGTGCCAAGGGCTATTTGGATCTTTAACTGCAGTTCAGAGGTGTTTCACCACCACCTCTGGTGTGTGGTTGGGCAAGGGCAGCCAGCTCTGAGCCTCCAAAGGTCTGTAGTTCTGCTGCTGTGCTGTACCATGCATGTCCCTATCTCTCTGATCACCCACAGCGCCAGAGCCAGATGATGATGATGATGATGATGACGATCCTCCACCCCTGCCTGAGCGAACCCCCGAGTCCTTTATCGTGGCCAGTGACTCTGGTAAGTGCATTTAAAAAAGCAGGGGCTAAGAAGGGCTCTGAGGGCTCTTCCATTCTTTATTTGGTACTGTAGCATCTGGCAGTGCCTTTGCCCTGGCTGCTTGGAGTGGGAAACGACCTCTCTTGTGTTCTATTGCTTCTAGGACAGTTTCCTCTGGCAACCTCTGATTCTCAGCTTCCAGCCAGAGATACACATATAGGAACCTCTCTGGAGCAGAGCAGCAAGTCTCACTCAGAGGTGTTCGATGACTCAGTGAGACTGAGACCATGTAAGGTACAAAAGTGGCTTTCTACTTCTTCTCTAGCACTATCACTATGCTGATTTCCTTCTTGTGTTTCCTTCTGCAAGACCCTACTTTTAGCCCTGTGTACCTTCCATATATTATTTCAGGGCTCAGGACTGAAAAGAAGACGTGGTCTCAGTTAGGCTTCTCCTTACTAACACCTATTTTACTCCAAACATTATCGTTTGGGGTCTTAAATCCCGTACATGCTGTCACTCGTTTAGATTATAATGCTGACAGGAAGTTAGTGATCCACTGAGGTTTACACTGCCCTGGGGAACAGGCAGGAGCTGAACCAAATTAAAGCATCTTTGATCATAGCTTCAATTATAGCTTTGTTAAAGTGAAACAATAAGGCGTAAGTCTATCTTCCATTACATGAGTATGGAGGTGTGTGTGGGAGGGTGTTTGCACATAACATCATTTCCTTGTCTTCTCTGGCTTGCCTGCTTGCAAGAGAATGACATTTGGTTGTGGGAATTATAAATACTTTCCCTGTTTTTTGTTTCCAGGGTGTGAAGCTTCGGAGCCCACAAACAGGTATAACTTTAATGCTGGGATAAGCTATCTTTGAAGTAAGGTCTGCTTTGTACTGCTTTAGCGTATTTAGTCTTTAGGATTTGTGCTCAGTCAATGGAAAATTTGTGTTGCTAAATAGTTCTGCAACTAAATAACTTTAGACAGAACTAGACAGCTCTACAACCAAAGGAATGGGTAGGGTTTTATTTCCTAATCAGCTCTCACCTCTCCCTGTGCACCGTGGTGTTCCTCACGGACCCTCAGGCTGAGGATTGTCATGTCATTTGCTGCCTGTTGTGTGTTTCCTTTGAGATGACTGCGATGCTGAGGGCCTCTCAGTGAACTGAGATATGTGTATATTTAAAGCTAGGCAACCAGCTCTTTTATCTTTGCTTTCTCAGAGACAACCTGGGATTGCTCTAGCTCTCCTCCCCCGCTTCCTGAAAGAACCCCGAACTCATCTGTTCTTGCTGATGCTGCAAGTGAGTGACAAGTTCTTTTCTCAGCACGTAACCAAGATCTTACACGTACACCTAAACCTGTAGATAGCTGAGGAGATCGTGGCCCCTTTGTTCAGAGCATTACCAACAGTAGTGCTTCAGGACTCGACTGCAGGAGAGTTCAGCAGATACAGAGAAAATAAATGCAACCGGGGCACCCTGCTCTAGTGGAAGGTGTCGCTCGCTGCCCATGGCAGGGGGTTGGAACTGGATGAGCATTAAGGTCCTTTACAACCCAAACCACTCTGGGATTCAATGAACTAGGCGACCTGCTGGAAATGTTTATAACTGCTGCATTAGAGGAAATGAAAAGCAACAAGAAAGGCAGAAGGATTCATGAAAGACCACTGAGAAAGTTCTTATGTGTGTACCCAGGTCTGCAGCCTGCTGCAAGAAATTCTATGTGTCCCGAGGGCTTGGAGAGCAACGCTGCCATAACATCATCAAAAAAGTCTAACTGCTTCAGGAGAAGCAAGGTAAAAACAAGACAAGACAAAGCTATTGCAAATGGAGAGGGTGAGAAGAGATCATTCTAGCCACAGCTACTGCTACTTTCTCAATGCTAACCTTGTGCAAATTGCCTGCTTTGAGACCCCCTTGTTTATGGCAAGGAAACCAGACTGCTAAAACCAGTCTGCAGTAGAACCTGCAATAAACCCCACTGCCTACAGTAGGAACAGAGCAACGCAGCCATGCCAATGCAAAGGGTTATTCCTTGGTGCTGTGTCCACCTGAAGCACCAGTTTCTCTGGGAAAAAGGTTGCTCGAGTGGAGTCTGAGTGTGTCCTACATGAGTCTGCTCATCAGCAGTCTCCTCTTGTGGCCCTAGTTAATTATCCTCACGAGCAATTGTACTTGGGGATGTTATAGCTGAGGAAACAGCAAGAAGACTACAAACTGATGACATTCAGGATGGCTGGAAAAGAGCCAAAGTGAATGGCAGAAGTCTGCCCTTCAGTCTCAGCTGCTGGCACAATACTTTCTATGAGATGTGATACGTGTGTGTTTATCAGTAAATTCTCTTTATCATAGTAGCTGACCTATTGCTTGCTACATTTTTTTCCATCAAGCCTTCTTTTGCTTTTTTTCTTATTTTTTTCACAGAGCTTGAAAATACTGAAAAACATGAGGAAGAGTAAGTTTTTCAGGATAATGTGCATCTTCCTGATGACTTTAAGCAACTAAATAAGGAAATAGATGGGACTGAACTTTCGGGAACCTGAACTTGTGCAGTGTGAAACGCTGCATGCCTGCCTGCTTCGGAGTAGGATGCGGAGCTGGCCAGCTGAGTACCATCATATCTGTATAGCAATAGATGCTCTAGGAGCATCCTAAGGGTGCCCTTGTAATGCCCTTTGGATACCTTGGGGACAGCTCCAGTGTACCTAAATTATCAAATTCCTCTTGTCATTCAAGACAGTGTTGTGGGACAAATACCCCAAAACCAGAGGACAGGGGTACTGTGGGAATGTGAGCCCCATCCTGGGCTCTGCCCAACCTATTTGGAGGAGTTCCTCATTAGGTTCCCTTTGATCTAAAATGATAATGCTTGGCTTGAAAATAGGATTGTTCAAGCTGCTTAAAGCACTGAGCAAACAGTTTCCCAGTGGATTGCTCTGCAGCAGTACACTTGCTCCCTGCTACAAGCAAATAATGTTGTTAAAACCGTGTGGTACTCAGGCTCTGCTAGTGTGGAAAGTACTTTAATTTTGTCTCATGCTGGAAAATCATCTATGCCTGGTGCCATCGTGCCTATGGCAGTACGTGTTTTCCCATAGCTGTGTCAGAGTCCAGCTCTTCAGGGTGTTACCCCAGTGACAAACCGCTTCAGCTTGGTTTTTCATTTCTAGGCATCTGTAGTTCATCTTCACTGACAAGAGCACCAGATTCTGCCCCATCAAACAATTCCAGGTCCTTCCTCAACTTTGGTATGTTCTTCTCTTTGTATTTTTTTGTGTGTAGGAAGTGCCTGTTTTATGAGAACCTAAATGCAGGTCCCAGGCAGTACGCTACCAACTGAGGAACACTGCAAGTACTGCTTGTTATTTTGTACACATTTACAACTTCATTTGCAAGCTGTTTAATGAACACATAAGGATGGGAAACACAAACCTACTCTGACAAATGTTTCTTGGTGTGTGAGGAGGCTGAAGCATGGATTTGGCTCCCCTGTATCTGAAAGCTTTTATGTGGCAACAGAGACAGCAGAAGACAAACACAAAGCTATAGCATTGCCATTAGGCTGCTCCCTTGTGTAATATGGCATAGGAGAAATACCATTTTCCATTTGAAAATCTACTAGAGAGCAAATATTTGATTGTGCATAAAATCTAGTTACCTTGAGATTCATGCTATAATGATGGTATTTTCTGATAGACATTTTTGGCATCATTTGACTTACAACTACAGGATGTTGCTTGTCTACCATGTGTTATATATATATACACACACACTCATAAATATGTATTAAAGTTTAGGAAAGAACTGAAATTACAAGTATTTTCAAGTACCGTGTTATTAAGGAATTACATAATCAAATTCTATACCATACAGATTTTGTTGCATTAAAGAAAAATGTCTCTTTCCTAGGCTTTGCAAACCGATTTTCAAAACCTAAAGGACCAAGAAATCCACCACCAGCATGGGATATTTAGGTACATTTAACAGATTTGGTGTTACAGATTTGTAAAGCACTACTTCCTCGCTCATTAACTAAAGTTCTGAAGTAAAGAAGAACATGAAAGTACCAGCAGGACTGCACTTTCAGTTAATTTATAGCAGGATGGAAATGAAAACCAGAACATTTTATGCTAAGGAGGGATAATTTTTTTGCTGTGTTTCGGAATGTATTCTCTGCAAAAGGATGGATTTGAGCTTTCTAAACCAGCAGAGCAGTCTGGTGATAGGATCTAGTGAAGACTCCTGAATGATATGGAAGGCCAACAGGTTGGACCAATGCAGAATGAGACTCTGGAAGGTGCAGACACAGCATCTGCCTGACTTCACTCATGTGTGAAGGTTTACCTTAATGAAAGACACTTAAGGAGTCAAATTCCTTAAATGTTTACATCACTTGGAGTGACAAGGATGAGCATCTCTGATTTCAGTTCTTTTTTCACCTGAGCAAATCAGATAATTTATCTAGGTATTTGGTCAGTAAGACCAAGATGCCAATCGATCATAAAGTAAACCAGTGTACCAGGCTGCAGAATTCCCTGACCAAACTGCCCCTGCTGTCTGGAAAATGACTTGGTATGATTATTTTTCTATAGAAAGAAGAAAAAAGAGGATTTCATTTTTTTTTTTTTTAATTAAAGGGAAAAAACCTACTTGGAAAACTGTCTTCAGTTGTGGTCCCTGCTATACAAAAAAAGATGTGGACACGTTCAAACAACTTTGACTCCTACGGTTCTGCCTCACCAGGCACAGCGACTGCTTCAGCAAGCAGGCACAATGTTAACCCTTTATTTCCCGGTATCATAGTGAGGTGGGGTCAGTCTCTTCTCCCAAGGGACAAGGGATGGGACAAGAGGAACCGGCCTCAAGCTGCACCAGGGCAGGTTTAGATGGAGCTGAGGAACAATTCCTGCCCCAGAGGGTGCTCAGGCATTGGAACAGGCTGCCCAGGGCAGGGCTGCAGGCACCGTCCCTGCAAGTGTTCACATCCTCAGTGCCATGGGTTAGGGGTGGCCTTGGCAGTGCTGGGGTAAGGGCTGGACTGGATGAGCTGAAAGGGCTTTTCCAGCCCAGGCGATTCGCTGCTAACCGCGAGCAATGCCATAAAGGTAACGTTTATTTGCTGCGGTCCTGGCTGGTCCGTCCCGAGTCCACCGGCAGCCCTCACCCGCGGCCGCCGCCATGACACCTCCAGCGCGCCTGCGCTAACCCTCCGCGCACGCGCCCTCGCGCGCACTACACTTCCCGTGGCTCCGGCGCGAACTACAGCTCCCGCGGGGGGGAGGAGAGCGGGGCGGCTGCGGCTGCGCCTGCGCGCGGGCGCCTCCTGTGGCTCGGGCCCATTTAAATGTATGTGAGGGAGGCTGCGAAATGGCTGCGCAGGTCGCTGCGGTGCGCGCCGTGCCCCGAGCCGCGGAGGAGCCGCCCCAGCTCCCCTCAGGGGACCGGCCCGGCCGGCCCCGCGGCGGCGGGCGACGGAGGCGGGGTCCCTCTGGTGAAGCGGCGGGCGCCAAACGGGCCCGGCTGAACCAACCGCTGCTGGCGGGGCCCGGCCCGGCGGAGCCGCTGCCCCCGGCCGCCCTGCCCGGCCTGCCCGCCGCCGGGCTCTTCACCTTCTCTCCGCTCACCCTGCCGCCACCCGCCGCCCTGGAGGAACGCCGCCACCACCACCACCACCGGCATCGCCCTGCCGCCGGCCCCGAGCCCGGCCGTTTGGCCGCCGGGCAGCCGCAGAAGGCGAGGCGGGGCAGCCCCGCGGACGGGGCAGCCGGGCGGCCCAGCAAGCGAGGTGAGCAGGCGGAACGGGTGTGGGCTCGGGACTGACCGGTAGCGCCCGTGCGGATCGTACCCGGCAGAGCTTGCCTGCCGCAGCCCTCAGCGGCGGCCTCGCACTCCGCCGTCCGTGGCTGGCCGGGCTCAGGGGGGCCGGCTCCGGCTCGGCCTCACCGGCCCCGGTGGGAGCCGCAGAGAACGCGGCTTTCGGCGCCCTGTGTGCGTTCAGGTGGCGGTGGGCAAAGGCGGGTGAGCGCTCCGTGGCTTTGGACCCCACCGCTGTCCCTGGTCGCAGCGGGGCCCGTCGCTGTGTCCCACTGGGATCCGGAGCCCCGTAGCGTGTGGCAGGCTCGGGGCGAGCAGGGCTCCAGCGCTGCCGGCCCGGGCTGCCCTCTGCGCGGCTCTCAGTGCGAGCACTTCCACAGCAGAGCTTTCTTCCTGCCGTGCCTGCGTTAACTTACACCGGAGCTGAGAAGGTGCTGTGGCTGGTGTGGTGTTTTTCTTGAGTTAAATATCCTGAAACTGCTTTAATGAAGGCCAGGTTTTGTCTGGATTTTTTCCTTTTTTTTTTTTTTCACGGTACAGAATTATTTTTGTTCTACTCACTTATTTGTGATAGCAAAAAGCCTCTTGGGGAGAGCAGCATAAATAAAAAGCCATTGCAGAAGTTGCTGTAATAGATACTAACGTGAATCAGGCTTCAGGAGTATATGTGAAGTTACTGTGCTGAAGATGCAGTGCTTACAAAGTTAGGTTTGTAGTGTAAACTCTTTGGTAGTGCTGTGTAAGAAAGGGCAAAGCTATTATGGGGAGAGACTTTTCACTTGGCTTAATGCTTCTCCACAGCTGTGTTTGAATAGTGACTACTCATTACTGGACTGTAACTCCAAACTTTAGCTTGATAACAGAGAAGTACTATAGCTCTCTAGATTGGGAGTGTCACTGTATGCCAGGTCTAAACAAGTAGTCAAATGAGGCCTTAAAAACTTAAACACTGTTAAAACTACTGACTGAATTCCAGGTTAGCAAAGGAAAGGTGTCTGTGTGCTGGAAGTCATGACACTCAGCACTAGTTGTCCTCTGCTGAAGGTGTGCATTGGGTTTTGGGATGAGGCTGGGTTTGTTTTCCTAGCTATCCGGTGTTATTTGTAAGTGTAATCCAATTAATTGGCTGTTTCTTTGACTGTACTACACTTGCCTTCAGCCATGAGTGACAACAATCATCTCCAGTGGTTTTGCTGGTTAATGGTGATACTGGTGTGTCCAGTTATGTGATGTTTTAGACTAGTGGAGTTATTGGCACTGCTGCTATGCCCATAGTTTGGTGACCTTTCTGTAGCTTTCCTTGTGTTTGAGGTACTGGAGGCATTCCATTTATTTAAAGGAATAATTAAAACTCTTTGCTTCAAGACTGTCAGGTACTGCCATAATGTCACAGTCTAGCTTTATACAGAGGTTGGTCTCAGTGCAGTAGTGGGACTCTGCTGTGTTCAGTGGATACAGCACAGTTGGGATATCTTTTATCCTGAGAAGAGACCAGTCTTCACTGGAAGTTCCAAACTGCAGAGTGCTAGTTTGTGTGCCTGCTATTAGGGGATATCTTCAAACAGGCAGGTGCTCTGAACTAAAACTAGTGCATGTCTGAGGTTTTCTAAACTACGTCTAGAATTAGAAATACTCAAAATAAGACACATAACAACCAAAAATTAATTTAGAAATACCTACAGGGAAGTATTTCCAACAGCTTGGTGGTGCCATGAAATTCTTGTTTAGTTTCAGCTCGGAATCTCTGGCTCCAACAGAACAAAGGTCTTCTGTGTAATTAGTATGTTACAGTTAGTAAAGCAGTATCTATACTTGAGAGCTTAGTGATTGAGTAAGCTTATGCAGCCTCAACTTCTGAGACTTGCAGAAAAGCTTATTCAAAGAACTGTTTCAGGTGACCTACCAAAACAAGTGCTACCACCTTTCTTTTCCTGGTTTCCTTAGCTGTAATATAAAAATAAGGGCATTTGCTGTTTGTAAAGGCCAACAGCAGTAGCGTGTGAACTTGAATTTCAGGTCCTAAGACAATCGTATGAAGTTAGTATTAAGCAATCGACTCTTTGCTTCATGAGTAATTCTGTTCACTACAGCAGGCTGTTTCGAAGGTCAGCTGTCTGTAGTGAAGAGCTCCGAGACCAGCCTAGTAATGATACTGTTGAACACTGGTTAGACTAAGTAACTTGAGGCTGCATGTATATATCCTTACACCCTTTCTCACAGATCAGTGTAACATGTTTATTTTTTTCTTGAAGAACTGCAAGAGAGTAAAGAGGAAATACAAATTTGATAGCTTTGCAGACAGAAGGGAAATTTTGTTAGCACAGAGCCCTGTGCTGCAGGAAACTGAAACTTTAGCCATTGCATCTTCCAGTCTGATGTTGCCTTCAGCAGGTGTTTGGACCCCTACAGCTCTCCTGGTAACATGGCTCTTAGAGGTTTGTGTGAATTGTGGCATGAAATAGTTCTTTGGTTCAGGTAGATTAGAGGCTTATCTTGGCAATTGAGTTTTTTAACAGCTGGACCATCAAGATTTCTAACTACCACTGTCATTTGGTAAATACTATTTGAATTAGTTTCTATTCCTAGACAATGAGCAGTTAAACTATTGCATTTTGCCAAACAGAACTACTTTACTTTTTATCTTTCAGCCTTTAGCCTTTTAGAGGTTGATTAACCTTAAAAAACCAAACCAACCAAAACCTAAACCAGACAACCTCCTCTTAATTTCTAGCTCTGATTTAACTGAGTAGTTACGAGTAGTGAAAGATAGCTGAAGATGTGGATGTAATGATTCAGATCCTTTAATAAAAAAAGATCAGTGGTCTAAGGCTATTTTAATTGTTGGGTTTTTTCTTGTCCAGAAAGCCGACTGCCTTAAATATTTGTGCCTCTTCCTTTGCACTCAGTTTTGCTTCTGTAGTGTGTATCCAAAATCAAGGAAGCCTTCTGTAATGAAAGTATTAATGTTTAAATGTTACTTCTTAACTTGTTTATCCTCTTCCCCTGCATGGCACTGCCTTAAATGTCAGGAGTTATTAATGTACTTACAGATGCTTGGGAATATGGATTCCCTTTAAAGGTATTCTAATACTTCTATTAAAATATGAACTATCTCTAAAGTATTAAGCTTGAGTTTTGGAAGATTTCCATAATTCAGTGTCTTCCTTGCATAATAACCAGAGGTACAGCAGTTTTTGTTGTATAATTAAAGTCTTGTAAGTTAAGGTATTACTTCCTGGGAATAGAGAGCTTTAGCAAATGGGAGGGTTTAATTCTTTAGGGGTGAACATGCTGCAACTGCAGAACTCTAATCTTCTCTTTATTGTCACTGCCAGAAACTCCAGATGAAAATGGCAAAACCCAGCGAGCTGACAGTCTTATTATGAAGAAGATAAAGAAAAAAAAGAAAAAGAAACATCGGGAAGATATGAGGGGGAAACGCCTGAAGATGTACAACAAAGAAGTGCAGACAGTGTGTGCTGGACTCACTCGCATTGACAAGGAGACTCTTTCTCAAGGACAGTGTGATAACTTGGAAATGAACAAGGAATCCTTCAGGTACCTGAAGGATGAGCAGCTCTGCAGACTGAATTTGGGTATGCAGGAA